TCATATAGCCTCTGCCTGACGTAAAATAGGCGTAAACTCTAGTATTGTAGGCCATAACACAGGACTGGTGGAGGGGTTGGGGAGCAGGGGGAGAGAGGGGTGAGCTGGGGAGAGAGAGGGTGAGCTGGGGGGAGAGAGGGGTGAGCTGGTGAGAGAGAGAGGGGTGAGCTGGGGGAGAGAGGGTGAGCTGGGGAGAGGGGTGAGCTGGGGGGGAGAGAGGGGTGAGCTGGTGAGAGAGAGAGGGGTGAGCTGGGGGAGAGAGGGGTGAGCTGGTGAGAGAGAGAGGGGTGAGCTGGGGGGAAGAGGTGAGCTGGGGAGAGAGAGAGGTGAGCTGGGGGAGAGAGGGGTGAGCTGGGGAGAGAGGGTGAGGGAGAGAGGGGTGAGCTGGGGAGAGAGGGGTGAGCTGGGGGAGAGAGGGGTGAGCTGGGGGAGAGAGGGGTGAGCTGGGGGGAGAGAGGGGAGCTGGGGAGAGGGGGTGAGCTGGGGAGAGAGAGAGGGTGAGCTGGGGAGAGAGGGGTGAGCTGGTGAGAGAGAGAGGGGTGAGCTGGGGAGAGAGAGAGGTGAGCTGGGGAGAGAGAGAGGGGTGAGCTGGGGAGAGAGAGAGAGGTGTGGGAGAGAGAGGGTGAGCTGGGGAGAGAGAGGGGAGCTGGGGAGAGAGGTGAGCTGGGGAGAGAGGGGTGAGCTGGGGGGAGAGAGGGGGTGAGCTGGGGAGAGAGGGGTGAGCTGGGGAGAGAGGGGTGAGCTGGGAGAGAGAGAGGGGTGAGCTGGGGAGAGAGGTGAGCTGGGGAGAGAGGGGTGGAGCTGGGGGAGAGAGGGGTGAGCTGGGGAGAGAGGTGAGCTGGGGAGAGAGGGGTGAGCTGGGGAGAGAGAGAGGGGTGAGCTGGGGAGAGAGGGGTGAGCTGGGGAGAGAGAGGGGTGAGCTGGTGAGAGAGAGAGGGGTGAGCTGGGGGGAGAGAGGGGTGAGCTGGGGAGAGAGAGGGGTGAGCTGGGGAGAGAGGGGTGAGCTGGGGAGAGAGGGTGAGCTGGGGGGAGAGAGGGGTGAGCTGGAGAGAGAGAGGGGTGATTGGGGAGAGAGAGAGGGGTGAGCTGGGGAGAGAGAGAGGTGAGCTGGGGGAAGAGGGGTGGCTGGGAGAGAGAGGGCAGCTGGGGAGAGGGGTGAGCTGGGGAGAGAGAGAGGGTGAGCTGGGGAGAGGAGAGAGGGGGGGAGCTGGGGAGGGAGGGGGTGAGCTGTAGAGAGAGGGTGAGCTGGGGAGAGAGGTGAGCTGGGGAGAGAGGGGGTGAGCTGGGGAGAGAGAGAGGGGTGAGCTGGGGAGAGAGAGAGAGGGGTGAGCTGGGGAGAGAGGGTGAGCTGGGGAGGGGGGGTGGCTGGGGAGAGAGAGGGGTGAGCTGGGAGAGAGAGGGGTGAGCTGGGGAGAGAGGGGGGTGAGCTGGGAGAGAGAGGAGGGTGAGCTGGGAGAGAGAGTGGGGTGAGCTGGGAGAGAGAGAGAGGGAGCTGGGGAGAGAGAGAGGGGTGAGCTGGGGAGAGAGAGGGGTGAGCTGGGGTAGAGGGTGGGAAGAGTTGGGAATGAGGGTGGGGAGAGGGTGGGGGTTGGGAGGAGACGGGAGAAGCTGGGGAAGAGACGGGAGGGGTTGGGAGTAAACGGGAGTGGCTGGGGAGTTACACAAGTTATCATCTTTTGTGTCTGCAGATGTTGACATGAACCCCACTCTCCCCTGGGATCGGAAGGGGAGGGGCAGGGGTGGTGGGAGGGCAGGGGTGGTGGGGGAGGGTAGGGGGTGGTGGGAGGGTCAAGGGTGGTGGGGAGGGTCATGGGTGGTGGGAGGGGCAAGTGGTGGTGGGGAGGGGCAGGGGTGGTGGGGAGGGGCAGGTGGTGGTGGGGGAGGGGCAGGGGGGTGGTGGGGAGGGCAGGGGTGGTGGGGAGGGGCAGGGGTGGTGGGGGGCAGGGGGTGGTGGGGAGGGTCAAGGGTGGTGGGGAGGGGTCAAGTGGTGGTGGGGAGGGTCATGGTGGTTGGGAGGGCATGGTGGTGGGGAGGGGCAGGGGTGGTGGGGAGGGTCAAGTGGTGGTGGGGAGGGTCATGGTGGTTGGGAGGGGCAAGTGGTGGTGGGGAGGGGCAGGGGGTGGTGGGGAGGGCAGGTGGTGTTGGGGAGGGGCAGGGGTGGTGGGAGGGGCAGGGGGTGGTGGGGGAGGGGCAGGGGTGGTGGGGAGGGGCAGGGGTGGTGGGGAGGCAGGTGGTGGGAGGGTCAGGGGTGGTGGGGGAGGGTCAAGTGGTGGTTGGGAGGGTCATGGTGGGGGAGGGGCAGGGGTGGTGGGAGGGGCAAGTGGTGGTGGTGGGGAGGGGCAGGGGGGTGGTGGGGAGGGGCAGGGGTGGTGGGGAGGGCAGGGGTGGTGGGGAGGGCAGGGGTGGTGGGGAAAGGCAGGGGTGGTGGGGAGGGGCAGGGGGTGGTGGGGGAGGGCAGGGGGTGGTGGGGAGGAAGGGTGAGAGGAGGGGAAGGGGGTGGTGGGAGGGGCAGGGGCAGGGGGATGGGCAGGGGTGGTGGGGAGGGGCAGGGGGTGATGGGACAGGGGTGGGTGGGGAGGGGCAGGTGGTGGGGGAGGGGATAGGGGTTGGAGGAGGAGAAAGAGGGAGGAGGAAGTTTGTGTATCTGGGTACACACACACTGGTGTTGGCTGGCGGCTGCTTTGTTGACATTCAGCGAGTCACTTGATCAGGGTCGTGTTACCGTCTCCGATTTCCCGTCAACTCCGACACCGTTCTGTGTTTTCTAACTCTCTAGTATGTCATTTATCACTTTATTTTATTCTCCTTTGCTTACTTTCTGTCTCTGTCTGTCTGTTTCTCTGTCTCTCTCTGTCACTCTCTGTCTGTTTCTCTGTCTCTCTCTGTCACTCTGTCTGTTTCTCTGTCTCTGTCACTCTCTGTCTGTTTCTCTGTTCTTCTCCCTCACTGTCCCCCACATTTCTTCTCTTACCCTCTTACTCTCTCTATCTCTCTTTATCTCCCCCTCTCTTACCCTGTTTCAATTTCTCTCACACTCTCCTCTTCCCAGCCCCCTCCCTCTCTCTCTCTCCCTCCCTCTCTCTCCCTCTTACTTAAAATGAACACCTCAATTATACCTCACCTGTGTACTAATTACAGGTGTTGATTGAAACTTTGTCAGGTGGAAAAAATCCTTCATTTGACGATTTTTCCGACCTTATTTATGTATCTTTTCAAGTCACTTCTTATTCAGGGAAATTTCACGAAGATGTGGAAGAATTTAATAAACCACAACGCCTTGACAACTAGTAAAACACGCACACAAACACACACACACCACACACACACACACACTTGCTTCTCCCTCACACTTCCACTCTCTCACCCCTCCCTCACTCCTCCCCCACCCCTAAATGACATATAAGATTCCTTTTTCACCACCAGAATGAGTGTTAATATGACAGCTTATTAAAATCCATACTGTGGCCACATACACTTGACTACAGGGTATAGTGTCCCAATCCTCGCTGGCCATTCCGAACAAGTGGCCACGTCGAAACCTAAGCACAAACCTCGAGTAGATATAATGCAGAAAAAAAATACATAGTTGGCCACTTGTCGGTAAGGCTGGGACACTATACCCGTGGCCAACTGTACGTCACTGTGTCCTTTGTATAAACTAACCTGAAAGACAACCTGTTCACGCCTCAGAGTTTCCTTAGCATATGAGAATACGTATATGTGTGTATATATGTATGGATGTATGTATGTATAAATGCATGTATGTGTATATGTATATGTGGATGAGAGCAGACTACAGAGTTACCTTAGCATACATATAAGCAAAGTCACATGGTTTGCTGGCATTTAATACTCCCTAACTTAACACACAGGTTCTCACACACAATGGTCGCTGTTGTCAAAAGATCATAGAAATCTTTAGCTGACGTCCCGCGGGGTTCTACAGCAGCCTTTTTCACCGTCAGGAGGAAATAAACGACCTGATTCTTATTTTCCTCCCCAGATCTATACACCCAAAAGAATGTCATATTTTACCTGAGTCTGCCTGTTGCTAGTGCGCGTGTGTGTGTGTGTGTGTGTGTACTGTAACTGTATGTGTGTGTTTGAGTAAATGTGGGTGTGTTTGAGTGTATTTAAGTGTGTTTGAGTGTGTTTGAGTGTATTTGAGTGCATTTGAGTGCGTTTGAGTGTGTTTGAGTGTGTCTGAGTGTATGTGTATTTTATCTCCCTCCCCCCATCTTACACAATAAGGCAGAACACATATTCAACATCCTCCAGGTACGCAACACCCTTCCCCCTACCCCTACACCCTCCGTAACACCCCTACACCCCTCCATCACCCCTACACCCCTACACCCTCCGTAACACCCCCTACACCCCCTACACCCCTCCATAACACCCCTACACCCCTACACCCCTCCATGCTACCCTTACACCCCTACACCCCCCATAACACCCCCTACACCCACTACACACCCCTACACCCACTGACACCCTCCACATATATAAGTACAATTAGCGTCTTACCTGGTTATTTCACCTGTTATGTTAATATTTCAGAGGTTAATAACAACATACCAAAATACAATCCCATTTCTTACCTGGTTCAATCACTAATTAGGTTAATATTAACACTAACACCTCCTGACCCATTTATGACTTACCTATTTAAATAACCCACTAGTAACACCCTATATACAGGTAGACTCGTAAATAACAATAGGTTAATTGTTCACCTGGTTATTGATGGTTATTGATGAAGCCTTTGCCTTGTAATTAATGGATGGACTTTAACAGAGAGAGAGAGAGAGAGAGAGAGAGAGATAAGCATTCAACACACTAAAAATTAATCCCCATCTTACAACAACAACAACAACAACTACACTAATAACACTACTAATAACATAATATTAATAACAACAAAACAATAACAATAACAATAAACATTTTCTTCCCCCGTAAAAAAAATCCATAGAGTGCGACAATCCCATAATACTCACACTGGACTTTGAGTTCTATGCGCTTGGAGACGGAGGACCGTTGGAGGCAATACAGAGATAAGCCCACTTCTCGATTTTACTCAGGCCAAGTGTTGACTCTTCCAGCTTACTGACTGTTGAGAGATAGAGAGATAAGTGGTGAGATATCTCTATGTCTGTCTGTCTGTCTGTCTCTTGCTGGCTGTCTACCTGTCTATGTATTCCTGTGTTTGTGCTTGTTTGTCTGTCTGTCTGTCTGTCTGTCTGTTAGACTCATTTAAATTAACATAGGTTAAGTTGGATTAGGTTAGGTTAAGTTAAATTAGGCTAAGTTAAGTTAGGTTAAGTTAGTCTAAGTTAAGTTAGGTTAATTCACCTGTAAGTCATTAACATTCTTGTGTCACAACGTAACATAACGTAACCCCAACATAAAAGTATAACTAGTAATTATAATGTATTAGAACCAAGTACAAATAATTATATAAAAGTATGATACCTAATTATGATTATATAATTACATACAGATAAAGAGAGAGAGAGAGAGAGAGAGAGCCACCCACCTTTGCGTCTTTTGCTGAGGGTAATGTGCCTCTGGTCTTCCCTCACCCAAGAGATCTTAGGTTCAGGGTTACCTTCAGCGTGGCAGGTAAGGGTGACGTTGCCGTTCTCCTGCACCACCACGCTCGACCCGCTGCTCAGTTCATCCACGATCACCGGCGGCACTGTGGAACAAAGGCAAAGAACGTGTGTTAGATGAAGTTTAGTTACTGTCCCAGGTGAGTTTCCCCAGGTGAGTTCCGCAGGTGAGTTCCCCAGGTGAGTTCTCCAGGTGAGTTTCCCCAAGTAAGTTCCCCAGGTGAGTTCCCCAGGTGAGATTCCCTAGGTGAGTGTCCCCAGGTGATTTTCCCCAGGTAAGTTCCCCAGGTGAGTTCCCCAGGTGAGATTCCCTAGGTGAGTGTCCCCAGGTGATTTTCCCCAGGAGAGTTCCCCAGGTGAGTTCCCCAGGTGAGTTTCCCCAGGTGAGTTTCCCAAGGTGAGTTTCCCCTCCATTTCCACTGCTAGAAGAATGGCAAGTAGGTGTGTTAGGTTTTGTTTTCCCAGCTAAGTTTAAGTTATTCCAGTTAAGTTCTTTTAGGTCAAGTTGATCCAGGTAAGTTAGGTTAGGTGAGGTTAGGTTAGTTTAGGTTGGGTTTTCCCAGCTAAGTTTCTTCAACTAGGTTATTCCAGTTAAGTTTTTGGGATAAAGTTCGTGCAGGTAAGTTTCTCCAGGTAAGTTAGATGGTCCAGGTAAGTTCCTCCAGGTAAGATAGAGTTACCGGAGGCACTTTGAACTAATTTACCTAACTGCCACCCAGTAGATGTGGCCACCTCGAGGGAAGGAGGCCAGACTGTTCCATAGGTCTACGAGCCTCTGTGTGAAGAAGAATTTCCTTACGTTCGTTCTGCTTGATAACTTGGCCAGCTTATGTCCTCTGGTGTTGGTGGTGCGTGACAATATGGCCCAGGGTTCACGTTTTCCATCCATTTTAGTATTGTGAATGTTTACTTGAGATCTGCCCTATTGTGTTTTGTCTGGAGGGTTGTTTGTCCTAAGACCCTCAGTCTACTTGGGTAATCGAGGGTCAGGGAAGCTCAGATAATGATGAAAAATACCTTAATGTTTCTACAGCCTAAGAGGCGCACACACACACACACACACACACACACACACACACACACACACACACACACACACATATTCATCATTTATGAAAGACTAATAGCAGACTTTCACTCTCTCCTTCTCCTTCTCACTTTGTCTGTCTATCCTTGTGTCTCTTTCTCTCTCCCACTCTTTCTTCCATTATGCTGTAAACATCATTTCTTTACGGGACATGTGTCCTATCGCGTCCACCAGCCGTGAGGTAGGTGTCACCGGTATTCATTTCCTCAAGGAAGGAATGGCTCCTTGCACGTCCTGGGAACAGGCAGGAAGAGGGAGAGTCTGGCACCCTGAGGCACTCCTTACCTCTGTGTGTGTGTGTGTGTGTCTGTCCAGAAGCAAAAGTAGTATAATCTCTATACGGAGGAAGAGAGGAGGAGAGAGAGAGAGACCTCCATGCCAGAAGAGGGAGTTATACGTGTTTATACATCCAAATATAAGAGCGACAAGGGACCACCTCTTCACCCTGTTTTATGAGGAAATGTGTCTCCGCGTGTCCAGAAGCGACGAGGGACATCCTAGACACGCACAGAGGTCGACGGAAACACCACAAGAGTCAGAGGGAACAAGATAAACGATGTGATATATAGCAGTATGTCAATATCCAAGACCTCTTTCTTCTTTCTTTACGAAATGTATCTCCCATGTCCTAAAAAAGGGAGGGTAAGGGGGGGTTAAGGGACTTCTAGGACACGGAAGGCGGTGGTGTGAGGCATCAGAAGAGCACTCGATGTAGCAGAAATGGAACCTTCCTCTTTAACAGAACTGAGACGAGCACAGCTACTATAAACGCCCAAACTGCAACCAATAGCTGGGTTGTAGATATTACTGTGGTCACCTCTATCCCCCCCACCCACCACCACCCACCACCCACCCCCCCACCCACCCAGCCTCTCTCCTTGCTGTTCCGTCGTTCCTCTATTCTCTTCCCTCTCTGTCCGTTATCTTCCGTCCCGTGTTCCGTCTGTTGTTGGGATATTATCTCATATTTGTCTCTCTGTCTCTCTCTGTATCTAGTGTCTCTCTTCTTATTTGAGACTCGTTCTCTTACTCCTCCTCCCTGTTGCTATAGGTATCTCACCCCCACTCTCCTCCCTCCCTCCTCCCTCCTTGTCCTGCCTGTTGCTGGGACCTCTCTCTCTCTCTCTCTCTCTCTCTCTCTCTCTCTCTCTCTCTTCGTCTTGTTGAGTGATACTAAGTTTGGTTGAGGACCAGCCACACTGACAGGAGATAATGCAAGGTAACGATGCTGTGACGGAAGGACAAACGGACGGACAGACAGAAAGACAGACAAGGTAACTTCAGATGTTCGTCTTCTACCCTACAGGAGGCGGCAGAGGAACCTCACCGTCACACAAATGAACAATAGTGGACGCACCCGGAAATTAACCTAACCAAATGTAACCAAGTGTGACGTAACGTAATGTAACGTAACTTAAAATTTACTTAAAATAACTTAACCTAACCTAACTCCTAACCTAACCTAACCAATCCTAACCTAACCTAACATGGCTCCTCAC